CTGTTTTAAAACCATGACGTCTCTTGTGTGAATGTTCCCGATTTCAGCGCTCGCTTGATTTGATTTTGAACGAGGGCAAAAAGCACCATGGTATCCTCAGTTCCTGCCCAAAGTTCCACTGTTACTATACTTCCGGTTACGATAGCACTGCGGTAACTAACCACGTACAGTCAAAACGGCACTGTTTGCGGCGCCGTGTTTATTGTGCTATTATTAAACCAGCAACAGCTATAGAGTCTATTTAACACGAATGCATTTGGCAGACGCTTTTATCCAAAGTGACTCGAGCTGTACGTCTAATTGGTTCATGCGTTGCCTGCGAATCGAGCCCGCGAGCTTTAACGCCGTAACTGAGAAACTGTGGCTACTATGGTACATTTTTGCAAAGGAGTGTTTTAATATCTGTCACATTTTCTGAGCTTGCCGTGACGCGCGCTGTGGATTGAAAACGGACAGATTTTATATTGGGGCAAATGTACAGAAACCAACATTATACACGTGACCGTCATGACAATGTGATGGGTTGTTTTTCCTTTTTTGAGTTTTCTTTTATTCCTTTGACTTCCTGGACCGTATCATCTGGGGTCTCTCAGTGTGTGGAGTATGTGAGTTCAATAAACAATCAAATGGAAAAGAAATAAAACGGTAATGTGTTTCTTTGGTCATTACGCTTGCTTTATGTATTATTAGGATGATTCTTCAATTATAACCTCTTGGACCCCTACAATGACTAAAGGGACGCTATATAAAATATATAAACACACACATATACACATATAAATAACACTACAGTCCAATGTACTTGAAGAAATAGACATTTCATAAGATGACATTAAATTAATAACCTTTTCTTTTTGCAACAAAGTGACTTTTTCAAAGAATAGAAATATAAAACAGCTAAACATTTGGTGAGAATTAAATGGTAAAAGAATCAATGTTTTTTGCAGTAGTCGTATAACTGTGAGGAATGAAACGTTTTAAACTTTAATAAGGCATTTTAATCCTGAAAGTAACAGAATTCTGTCCTTCATATGACTTCAGACTAATACAATGTTTTATTATTATTTATTTTAAATCACGTATTTACTTAAATCAGTGTATTATTAGTATAACTGCTATTACTGATATATTGAAATAAACGGAATTAAAATGCGTCAAGGTGTTTTTAATGAGGGGCACACATTTCTGCAGACCACGTGCTCCGCCGGAATTCGCGCGCTTTCGAACGGCACCAGATGGCGGGAAAGAGCCGTGCGCGCGGACGGCCAGGGGCAGGTTTTTAAGCGCGAGCGGCGCGTAGCACGTGACCTTCAGGGCGGGATTTCATTGGGCCCCGCGCTGGATGACGTGAGCCTCAGGGCGGGAAACGCAGGAAAACAAAAGCAAGCCGTAATAAACGCCGCCGTTCCCGCCAAAAGCCAACGTATAGTTAGCAGATTAACACATCTTTTTTTATTTTTTTTTTTTTACATATCGTGTGTTTCACGCACGTCTTTCCTTCACAATAATAATAAACGCGTATCCTCTAGACAGACACAAAATGGCAGAGAAATAAATAAATAATAAATCGGACAAAGAGATGAACGCAATTAATTCAAATGAGTAACAATAAATTAATAAAAAACAATCGCGTCACTGTTTCTAAAATATAATAAAATGAATAAATGTTAAATATTGCGTTGAGCAGTAAATGTGTGTATATATATATATA